CATCACCTTGAGGGCCAGGAAGGAGGAGTCACTATGGTTCAGAGGAGTTCCATCTTCCTCACTAGGCTTCCTGTCCCCTTGAGTCCAGAGCTTGAGTCTTTGTACCTTGTGCTGGGCAATCAATAGTGCTGAGCTTCTGCTGACATACCATCCGCTCCACTGTCCCGTAGTCTCCCTGTCTGGACTGGCAGAGGTGGTCTTGGACCTGGTTTCGCAGAACCCCAGGCTCTTGGTCCTGGGGGACCTCAACTGCCACACCAAGGATGTCCAATCTAGGGCAACCCAGGACATGGTGGCCATGTCAGCTGTGCAGCTTTCTAAACATATCATTGGTCCAACACATGAAAAAGGGCACACTCTAGATCTGGTTTTCTTGACTGAGCAGGAAGACAGTGATCTGGTGGTCTTTCTTTAAACCCTTCTCATAGTCAGATAACTTCCATTTGAGGTTTGAACTCTCTGCCCTTTTTCCCTTCTGTAGGGGTGGGGGACCTGCTAACTTGATCTGCCCCGAGAGACTGATGGATCCAGATGGATTCCTGAGAACTCTGAGGGATTCTCTGACATGGCTGGCATTCCTCTCGAAGCCCAGGTCACGGGTGGAACACAGAGATGACCCAGGGGGTTGAGATGATTACTTCTGAGCATCCTCTCTCTCCTTGCAGAGCCCATCCGGCTCCCTGGTTTATAGTAGAGCTCTGGGCAATGAAGCAAGCTGGGAGACAACTAGAGTGCAGATGCCAGAAAACTCTGAATGAATCCAACCATACATGGCTCAGAGCCTATTCCATGGTGCTCAAGGTGGCTAAGAAGTGCTTTTACACCACCTCCACTGCATCCTTGGAATGCTGACCAGTGGAGCTTTTCCAGGTAGTTCAGGGTCTTTTACATGCAGGCACCTCAAAAAATCCACAGCAGCAAAATGTGACGCATTTGCTCAGAATTTTGAGGACAAAATCACTGGTATCTGCTCTGACTTGGATGCTACAGTTACTGCAGTACTGCCACTGGAGGTGCCCAGTGCCCCGCCTGGTCTATACTTGCTGGATGAGTTTCTGTCTTTGCTGTCCAATGATGCTGACAAGTTGCTTGGCAAATCAGGCCTACTTGCTTGATCCTTGTCCATCTTGGTTTATTGGAAGATCAAGGGAAGGAAACTCTACCTGGGTCCTGAGGCCATAAATGCCTCCCTGAGAGAAGGTGTGGTGCTGGCTGCATTAAAAATAGGAGTAGCTACTCCTAAAAACAAAACAAAACAAAACAAAATCTGGACCTGGGAGACATGAAATTACAGACCAATAGCCAATGCTCTCTTCCTGGGCAAGGTGATCAAGTGGGTGGTGGCTGTGCAACTCCAGACCTTCTTGGAGGAAACAGATTATCTTGACCCATTTCAGTTGAATTTCAGGCCTGGTTTTGGGACTGAGACTTCCTTGGTCGCCCTGTGCAGAGACAGGCAGAGCACAATTCTCCCAGACCTCTCAGTGGAACCATCGACCATGAACTCCTTCTGGAGTGGCTTGCCAGGTGGGAGTTGGAGGCACTGTGCTGCTGGCACTGCTCCTACCTGGCGGGCCATGTCCAGATGGTGGTGCTGGGGGATTATTGCTCTCACCATGGCACATGGTATTTCATGAGTGGAGCCAACTGGTGCCCAGGGTCAGAAAAGATGGCCCAAGAGGCCCCTTCTGGCTTGCTGTTTCTATGTACATCATGAAGTACCACAGGGTTCGATTTTATCCCCAATGCTTTTCCACATCTGCATGAAACTGCTAGGTTTCAGGAGATCTGGGCTGAAGTGTCATCAATATGCTGATGATACTCAGCTCTATCTCTCATTTCATCTGGCCCAGGTGTGGCAGTCCCTATCCTCACCCAGTATCTGGACTCAGTAATGGGTTGGATGAGGACCAATAAGCTCAAGCTCAATCCTGATAAGAGGTAAGTACTGTTGGTGAGTAAAGCCACATTTCGACTGGAAGATTATAAACCTGTCCTGGGTGGGGTTGTACTCCATCTAAAGGACAAGGTTTGCAGTCTATGGGGTGCTCCAGGACCCCAAACTCTGCCAGGTTGCCAGATGGATTTTGCTTCAGTTGATTTATGAACCACACTTCTACTTGGCTGAGTACTCTTGCCACAGTCATTCATATACTGATAACCTCCAGATTGGATTACTACAGTGCACGACACATGGGGCTATCCTTGAAGATGGTCTGGACTCTTCAAATGATCCAGAACAAGGCGGCATGGCTGTTGATGAAGACCAGTTCTTATGGACATATTACCCCTGTCCTGCACTGGCTCCTGTTCCTGTCTGGGCTGAATTCCAGATTTTACCTGTGACATACAATGCCCTAAACAGCTTAGGACCACAGTATCCTAGGGAACACCTTACTCCTTATATTCCTGTCCATTGTTTAAGATCTTCCACTGGGACCATCTGAGTTCTTCTCCTCAAGGAAGTTAAGGGAGAGGTTGAATGGAGGAGGGCCTTTTCTGTGGTGGCACCCCAATTGGGAGATTCACCAGGTGCTTACCTTATTGAGTTTTAGGCACCTGGCAAAAACTTTCCTTTTCCGGCACACCTTTGGCGCCATCTAGACTAGTGGACAATTTTAATTATAATATATGTTTTATTTTTATTCAACTATTTTATTGTGACTTTAATCTATTTATCAGATTTTAATTGTATTTTTTCATGTTATCTGTTGACTTTATACCATAGTGGGCATCTGGAGAGCATGTTGCTAATGAGTGGCCTTTAAACAAATAATAATTATTATTATTACCCTGTCACCGTGTTGTTTTGTTATTGACACAAGGGGGACTGATTCAGATCCCCATACACAAAAGCAGGGGAGTTTCCCCTCTCACTCCACCCCCAATTTTTGCTTCCATCGGCACAAGGCCTAGAAACCCTCACCTCCATCATGCTGATGACATTAGCTGCAGGTTTTGTTTTTCAAGTTTCTGTGGTGAGTGTAGGAATTTGGGGAGTGGGGGCACTACCTAGGTACAAAGGTTTACTCCTCTGCAATGTTCACAAGGTAATCCTGATCTGGACTAGGCACTGACACAGTTAACTCTAAGGTTTAAAAGGGGTAAGGATCAGGTACATGCTAGGTATTTTAAATAGCAGCTTAGTTCTCAGAACAGTCAAAGAAAAAAAATCAGTCTCATTAATTAAAAAAGCATGCAGAAATCACCTCCACTGAACAACAGGCAAGGCTAGCCAACCAGCAAGTAATTTTTCCATGCATTTGCATGGAATTAACAAAGAGTGTTTCCTAGCAGAATAAATCTAGCATTTCAGAATTGCCACTGGTTATTTACGTGACATGTTGTTGTTCACGTTGAGATCGGAAGGATTTTAAAGCTAGTGGGAGAGCAGGAACTGTAAATATTCAGAATATATTCACTAACCACTTCTGCTTACAGCACCTTTCGTGAAAGTTCAGTGCAAAGTGTCCATAGAGTTGAATGGAGTAAGTGCAAACTTGCTGGGTTTTCTGTCAACACCTATTGCAATGGTTTCTATGCTGTTTTGGAACATGCAGCCTTTAAAGACTGCAACATGTTAGGAGGCTCTGCTGAATTCAACTGCACTTGCCTCTGAGTAAATATACGTAGAGTGTGCACAAAAGGAGTGCTATTACTCTATTTCAGAAGGAAACTGACCAAGACCTCAAGTATGCTCATATATATTTTTAGATTTTACCCATCCAGTATTATACACCAGTAGAGGTGATTTCTACATGCTTTTTTAATTAACGAGACTGATTTTTTCCCTTTTTTGACTGTTCTGAGAACTAAACTATCTGCTGCTTTACAAATGCAGCACACACCAGATCCTCACCCATTTGTTACCTTTAGAGACCAAAATAGGGCCAGCAATTTCTATCTAGGATGCACAGCACTGGCTATGTACCTTAATATCCCTTTAACAACGGTGACTCAGCCTCTCCCCAGAATGTGGGTAAAAGAGCAATCCACATTCACATTTCCGTAATTCCTTATGAAACAGTGTTGGGGTCTGCATGTAAAGGGAAGCCATGGATGAGGGGAGCTTGGCCCGGCAACTGGCTGTTTGCAGGCACTGCATCTCACTGTGGCTAATACGGCATGGTGTGCTTCAGTGCTTGTGCAAACAAAGTCCAATGCTTCCACCAAGCTCAACAAGCTTCAGGGCAAGTTGCCAGAAGGCACCCTGATGGCACATTGCAGGTAAAGAAGGCTCATTCACACTAGAACCCTCCTACGTACCAAATACTTTGAACTAGGAATGTCACTTTGGGCAATGGTAGATGGAAGTGTGGAAAACCCTGCATAGCTATTGATAAATGAAACTATTTAAGACATTACTCTTTGAGTAGGAGTTTCATCCATACATGCACTTCAATTAAGATAAAACTGACCAGGTGGAAAAAGAGAGCTTTGAATTAACTTTTTGACCATGGTATAGTTACCCGCCCTTATAGGTTCCGAAGAGCACCTCATATAAAATAGTTGATTCAACTACCCTTTCATCCCCAAGATGTAACACTGCAGGCTCTTTTTTTAAAAGCAACAATTCCAATTTTAAATGCTGCCACATGTGCAGATGTCAAGCAGTACAATACAACTTAAGTCAAGTTTGTGAAATTTTGCTTGAGTTCCATCTCTGCTATGGACACATCATGTAGCCTTGGCCAAGTCACTTAGACAGCCTGGAATGCTTGCTTAAGCTCAAATCCAGAAAAGAAATGTGCTGGCTTATGTTACAAGCCAGGCCCACCCAAATACAATAGCCTGGATTCAAAATTTTATTCTCTTAGAATTTGCATTCTTGGCCTTTCTTTCCTGCTTCTGCTGCAGCCATCAGTAGATCTGCCCCAGGAGTTCAGTAAACTTAGGAATGCTCTGAGAAGGGCAGAAAGTCAACCCACTGAGTTCAGTGGGACTTTCTGCCAACTAACTGGGCATAGGATTGCAGCTAGTCCCACCCTTAACTTGTCTGACAGAAACCAGTAATCAAGTTGTCACAACTAACTTAAGCTCCAAGAAGTTTCAATGACCTCATTAACCTTTAATGAACAAGGGTGCGATCCTATGCATATTTTAACTATAAAAAGTTCCAGAGGCTAGCTGGAGCATATTGAGAGTTGTAGGACTGTTCTGGGTGAACATGCATAAATGTGTGTCTTCCAAGCATTAGGAGTGAACCCCACCGAATACAACACAGAGACTTACTTCCTAGCAAGTGGGCCCAAGACAGCAATCCCTGCCTCATTTTCTTTGCAGATTTGCACAAAGATGTAACATGTGGGATTGCTTGCAGAGTGAAGGCAAGAAATGGAAATGACTATAAAGATCAATCCGGAAATTAATAGTGCTAAAATTTAAAAATCTATTGCAGGACACCGTGTTTCTGCAAACTAAAAAAACGAAAAGAACAGCGATCAGCCTTCTTGGTGGTGGGTGTTGAGCACAGAAACCGCTCAGACAGCTGTTTCCTTCCTTCCAGCCGCCCTAAGGCCATTAGTTCAAGCAAGCTCTCAAGGCAACACCGGGTACCGGAGCAGCGATCTACGTGCACCCGATAGTAAATGCCTGCTTATCTGGAGGCGGGAGTTCAAGTGCCAAAGGT